CAAAGATCCTTAAGAAACAATGAGAGAAAACAGCTTCTGTTTGATTAGATTAGATCAATTTATGTGCCTTCAGGAGGGCCCTGTGCAGGGCAGGGGGAGGGGTGCCCCCGTGCTGTTGGTGGGGGCAGTTGTGGCCCATGTGGTCACTTCATAAGTAATGAGGCTCCATGGAAGCTGGAATCTGAGAAAGGGGGAGGGCGGGCTGGAGGAGGAGCATGTGGAAAGAGATTTCTGCAGTCTGTCTGGAGAGCTGCCCAGGTTTCCCAGCCAAAAAAACAAATAAAAATAAATAAAAGGCAAGTGCTGAATGACACAGATTATGATATTAAAAAGGGATGCCATTGAAACTGTGCCTTGGAGCCCGCTGTCCTTGGGGGTTGGGTGTGCTTGGCAGTGGGGTGGGGACATCTGACCGGCTGGGGACACAAAAGTGTGCACAATTAAACTGTGAATGTCCCCCTCCCCCCCATATGTCAGAAATTCTATACTTCAGATTTGTCTGCATTGCAGATTGGGGAAATGGCTGGAAGAAAAGCTAGTGGCTCTTTTCCTTTCTCTCATTTTAATTTATCGGGGTCGGGGGAGCCAGCCGGAGACCCCTCCTCTTCGGTGTTCGATTCCCTCCCATGCACATAAATAACCTTCTCTCCTGGCTGCCTCCCCTCCCCCTCGGCCCCATTGCCGTTCTGGCCGTCCTATTGCCGCGCGGAATCTGCACTGCCGCCTGCTTATTACGTACAGGGGAGGATTGTTGACAAGTGCTCCGGAGCCTGCCTCACTGCGCTCTTCCTCCCTCCCTCCCTCTGTCCTTCTTCCTCTCTGTCTCTCTGCAATGATCCGGCTCTGAGGATGGCTGCTCCACGGGTCTGTCAGGTGCAGTTTTTGGTGGCTTATCTTGAGGAACCTGGGATAGAAGGTCTGTTCCTATAAATAAAAGAAAAACCCAATAGCTCTAGATTTGTTTCAGGCTGGTATGGCTTTTGTTGGAGAAATAGGCCTTTGTGGGTTTCCCTGCTGGGGTCCCGATTCAATCCATTGTGGATGGCAAGGTGCTATATATATGTATGTGAGAGACTATGTAAAAAGTGTTGTGATTTGCTTAATGTTAATATTCTCTTAGCTTTGATATCCTCCCTAGGGGCAATGGTGGCTCCTGCAAAGGCACTGTGGAAATTTACAAGAGAGAATTAATGTCGCTCTTAAAGCATTAAGCTCTGTTGACCATTTTGGCCAAATCTGCAGTTTCAGTCAGGCTGGTAGGAATTTAGACATTTCTCTGGAGACTGAATGCCATCCAGCTGTAGCTCGTCCCTTTTATTTTATTACAATTTATTTGATCATTTCCCAGCATTTAAGAATAAATGTTTGATTAAAGTTAATTAGTTCATCCTCACCCTAGCTCTGGTTTTCTTTATCAACAGCATGTTTGCTTTCATTTCCATGAATCCTTTCTTTTTCTACCTCCATCTTCTTTCCTTGAACAACACAGGAAACTGAGGCATGCAAATAGACCCTGAGTCCTGACGTGATTCCGGGCTGAGACCTAAAAGCTTTAAAGTTGGAGTGCTCTTGAATCTTCTCCTGAATTTCGTGCATTAATTCATGTCTGTGTTACTGTCTGTAAACACAGATGGATTTGAGGAACCTTCAGTGTTTGTTGCCTCAAATCTTTGCAGATTCCATGGCCACATTCCTCTAGTGCTGCTTTTTGTACTGCTTCCATTCATTATATTTCACTAGTGGGAAGAAAGCTGCTCTGGGAGGCAGTAGGCCTTTCTGAATTTATTTGTCAGCAGGTGATTTTTGTTTGTGTTTTTCCTTTGAATGGACTGCTTAATCTTCTCTGAATATATCCATCTGAAAAGTGGGAGGGCCATTGATTGTTGATATGTGAGTAAGGTAATAAGGAAACTGGAGAACCACTGTCCCTCCCAGTCATGGCACAAACAAAACAGAACTTTGAACTTTCAAGGGATTCCTGAATGAAGGCAGCCCAGAGACCTTTCAGGGCAAAGGGTGTGGTTGGTTGTTTATCTGCAAATTAAGGTGTCAAGTCAAGTTCGTGGAGCTTTGCCCATGTGTCATTGCAGATTAGTACACAAACCAGTAACTTTATGGTGCTTGTCGATTGAGTTAAAGCAGCAGCTTTGCCTGCCTTTGGAGAGCCTTGCTAAAATTGGATAGCTGGTTCCTTTTGGTATCTTACATTTGTGGGGTAAAGATGATAGGAAGCTTTAGAGACCTAAATACATACACACATTGCCATTACTTGAAGGTAGAAGAATATCATTAGCTATTTGTGAAACTTGCTGTGCACATGGACATCTCCCTTGAGGAGTGCAAATTCTGTGAGATGAGAAATCAAATTTTGGCCTTGTCCGTTTATCTGAACCCAAGACGTTCAGTTGGGCTCATTAATCGTCTTAAAAAAATTCTCAAGAAAATGCCCTTGTGTTTACGTCTCCTTCATGTGACTGAGTTCCCTTGCTCTGCAGTGATGCCATTGTTCTGCCGCTCATACACATCAGCCTAAACCCACTGTTGCCTTGAGTCAGTTTTCTTCTGTAGGCAGCTTTTGACCTTGGGGATGGTCAGTTCTGGGCCCTCTGTGGCGTGGAATTCTTTTCATAAGCTGATAGAAGCTTGAGTTGCATATCCTAGGGGATTCCAGGGATTTATATTTTGGTGGGTATTTGTAACTAGGTGGTCTGGTGGGTGTGTGTTTGACTTGGTTGTCGTCGTAAATGAAAAGGGTGTTGAGATGGGGTGTGGACCCAGAAGAGTTAGGGCCTGGGATGGAGTAGTCATGGGATTGGGCACAGAACTAGAACTTCTCACTGTAGAGCATCGTGGGTACTTATAATTCAGTCATTATTGTTAATTCAGGTACTGTACTCGTTCTGATGCTTAGGAAGGTTGTCTTGAGGATGAGGAAGGAGTGAACAGGAGAAAAGAGGGTAGGGAGGATGATCTCTTGCCCCAAAGAAGTAAAGGGAGTTGTGCCAGGATGAGTAGAACGTTTTGTTCACGGTGGTGATCATCTGAGTTTCAATAGCTCCTGGGCTGGTTGGGAAATCTTTCCTGAAGATTGTGGCTCTTTGTTTCTGTGAGAGGTTTTGTGTTGGATAAAGTTAAACTGTCAGTCTTTTTGTCTATTTTTATTTATTGTTGTTGGAGCCTCTCAGTGAGCAGTGTTTTCTCTGCCCCTGGGTTGTTGGTTAGGATGTGCTAAGGGGAATCTTTTGTCTTTTGGTGGTTCTCGCTCATTTAGGGTCCAGACAGCCAGAACAGGGCCCATTCTAATACTAGCTGTGTTCTGCTTACCTCTGTTTCCTCAGAGCTCTTCCTCCGCTGGCCTTGTTCCTTTGTAGCCTGAGGCATTTATTGCCCTCTGGGGTCCAGGGTCCCATCTTTCTCAAAGATAGTCATTTACTTGGTTCCAAAACAGGAAAAAGAGGGTAGTCAGAAATTTGCCTTATCTACTCAGTGGCCCAACGTTTCCATGTTAATAATGACCACCATGTTAGGTCTTTATCTAACGCTTTCTTAAAACATTTTGCATTGTGCATGCGAAAGAGGTTTAGATTGTTGAAGGTGTGTTGTGGAGATGGATTCTGGTGGTGGTGAAGGAGCTCTTGTGAGATTGTGGATTTACAAGTCAATATTTACATCTGTATTCACGGGTTAAATTGAACGAAAATATGTCCCCTGTGTCCTCCTCTTCATCTTCCCCATGCCTGCCTCCAAATCTTGAAATTATTTTAAGGGGTGATGGACGGGGGTGTTTTTGGATTGTCTTTGCTTGACAGGAATGGGAAATCTCCATAGCTGATTTAACAGTAGACAAAGGGGAGCCCTGGTCGGCTCGGGGGCTGGTCTCATGAGGGAAAGGGATAATTATTTTCCGTAAGACGAGGTATGAAACCACTTTCATTTGCACCTCGTTGACCACAAATGTGCCACCGCCATCCTGTCTCGTGACCGGCCATTTGTTCCTGGGCCCGCCAGTGTATTGATCTCGTGAGGATGTCAGTGGACAAGCCTGTGCTGAGCTCTGCAGACCCTGTGCCCTGCTCGTCCCTGTCCCTGGAGCTCTGTGCTTCATTGGAAGCTCCACATGCTGACCTGCATGTGTACAGTTGTTGGGCAAACTCCCATGTTCACACTGGCCATGCCAAGCAGGCCCAAAGCCAAGTCTGCCCTGGCATCAGAATGCCTACCCTGCTTAAAAAGCAGACAGTCCATTTTTCCCCCCTCTTTGCAAAACCTGAGTGAAGATAGGTTTTATTTTTCACTATCAATGGCAGTAAACCATGCATTCTGATGACCTCAGAGAGGTCTCTACCTCAGCCATGGGGCTGCTTTTATAATTTTTCCATCAACTGCAGACACACACACACACACACACACAGAGAGAGAGAGAGAGAGAGAGAGAGAGAGAGAGAAAGAAAGAGAAAGAAAGAAATTGGTGCTGAAAACGAAAGCTCTCTTTGGATGCTTGACTGTTTGATATGTAATGTGATAACCTTGTCTCAGTGACAGGGTGACAGACGGCATTGGCTGTATAATACAGAATTACCTTTTGTGCATCTTTTCTGCAACAAAGCCAAATACATTGACTCACCCCTAATATGCTAATGACTTTACTGTGCTCCAGATGTTTTAGAAGCCCTGGAACAGCCTCAAAGCCCTCCTTGTTTTTCCTTTCCTTTTAACCCTTCTTTTGGCATTGCCTTTGTGTAACAGAGGTCTGGGCTTTTCCTTTGGTTTTTCTATTGTCACGTGTGTGTAGCTAATGAGAGAGGACCTGTAAAACTTCTTTGTGTCTAACCATCTTAAAATGATACAGACTACATGCTCTAGTCCTTTTTTTTTTTTTTTAGATATTAGAAAAGAGCTGTCTTTTCTCTGTACATTTGTGTCCCCAAATCTGTTGTTCTCATCAGTTGCTTTCAAAGTTACTTCAGCTAAAGGAATCTGTGGCCTAATTTGTATTTCAGTTTTCCCAACACCCTTCATATAAGGCAAAAGGGAGATGGCAATACACTAGTATCTCCAGTTTCCAAGAACAACAGGAATTCCTATTCCATTTTGCTGCTGCTGTTCCAGATTCAGAAATAAGTGAGTTTTGTTGTATTGTTCTATGTGGCCTTTTCATTTCTTGCTAATTTGGGAGATGGGGTGAAAAGCTCCAGAATGGTAGAGCTGCTGATGGCAGGGTCCTGTTGTGTTCCATTTCTTTAGAGTTCTCAGCTGCACAAATGGACACTGCCTTGTGGCTAAACAGTCTTGGATCCCAGACGCGCACTTCTCCCGTCAGCTGATGGTGACTAGCTGAGGTTGCAGGCACGGTAACCAAGCCGCCTTTGCTGCAGTGATTTAGAATTTTCAGCTCATATTTATTGCTTTTGTGAAAGACAATAGACATGGTTTAATTTAAGTTCAACCTACTGAATATTAATAGAGGAGAACAAACGCTAATGGAATAGACCGAATCTTTGGGCCATTCATTTAATTTCCTCTGTTTAACCTCCTCTCCCCAACAAAGGTTTGTGTTTGTTGGGGTGGGGGAGGAGTTTGGAAAAATAAAAACGGTTTGAGTGTGTGAAGGAGGGGATGCCATTTCATTATTTCTCATTGACTAAAAATAATAATTTTAACAATTGGTGGCAGGGCTTTGTTAGGGGAAAGAAAAGGCAGCACATTAGCTTGGCTAATGTTATAATAATGGCTCTCTTGCCCTGTGGCATCATGTTCTGTCTTGCTGACCTGGCCCTCCTGGATTGGGTAGGCTGCATGATTGGGCTTAAAACATTCCGAATGAAATGGGGTAGCCAGTACAGTGGAGATTGGTTGGGGGGTGTCAAAGGAAAAGCCCAGGTTTATTCAATCATGTTGGCTATCTGACTATAAATAAATGTAAATATTTTCTGGGCTGATATATACAGAACTCAAATTGAAAAAGTTGATCATGTGCAGAACAATGTGAGTTTTGCACCTTCATAAGGGCCAGTAAAAACTATGGTCCTGGTTGGGTGCTGTGGCTCACAACTGTAATCCCAACCTTTTGGGAGGCCAAGGTGGGTAGATCACGAGGTCAAGAGATTGAGAGCATCCTGGCCAACATGGTGAAACTCCGTCTCTACTAAAAATACCGAATTAGGCAGGCATGGTGGCTGGGCACGGTGACTCAGGGACTGTAATCCCAGCACTTTGGGAGGCTGAGGCACGCGCATCACCGGAGGTCAGGGGTTTCAGACCAGCCTGGCCAACGTGGTGAAACTCCAACTCTACTAAAAATACAAAAATTAGCCAGGCATGGTGGCTGGGCACGGTGGCTGGGCATGGTGGCTCACGACTGTAATCTCAGCACTTTGGGAGGCCAAGGCAAGTGGATCACCTGAGGTTAGGGGTTTGAGACCACCCTGTCCAACATGGTGAAACTCCATCTCTACTACAAACACGAAATTAGCCAGGCATGGTGGCACACACCTATAGTTCCAGCTACTTGGGAGGATGAGGCAGGAGAATCGCTTGAGCCCGGGTGACAGAGGTTGCAGTGAGCCAAGGTCTCGCCACTGCACTCCAGCCTGGTGACAGAGACTGTCCCAGAAACAAAACCCTGAAACCTATGTTCCTCTAAGTTGTTTAACAGGTGGTTTCTTATGTATGGGCCCCATTTTGTGAATCTGGAATGTGAGTGTGATTCAGGACAGTCCGTGTCCCCTCTAGTTGAGGTACAGATTGCAGTCCTCAGGATGGTGGAAAGCTCTGAATTCTTTGAAGATTGAGTTTGAGGGCCTGGAACAGTGGAGTCGGTGCTTTCATTTCTTTTTGTGCAGTCATGCCTTATCCGAGTAGCTTATCTGTTTTGATTTGCAGGGTGGGAGGATAGTTCAGGAGAACATTACGCGTCTCTTTATGTTTATACTTATTAAGACATGCACATTTTTTTCAACCTGTTACTTTTTTGAGCCTGTATTTGTCATGTTAGCTGATTTTTGGAGGTTTGTGACAATTTTGGTAAGTTTCTGACAGATTGCTGATAAAAGGTGCATTAGGCCATGTGTGGTTTTTCATGCCTGTAATTCCAGCACTTTGGGAGGTCCAGATGGGAGAGGATTGCTTGAACCCAGGAGTTTGAGACCAGCCTTGGCAACATAACAGGACCCCCTCTCTAAAACAAAGAAAAAGATTAGTGGGGTGTGGTGGTGCACACCTACAGTCCAAGCACATTGGGAGGCTGACACAGGAGGACTGCTTGAACCTCGGAGGCTGAGGCTATTGTGAACATGTCACTGCACTCTAGCATGGGTGGCAGAGCAAGACCTTGTCTCAAAAAAAAAAAAAAAAAAAAAAAAAGTCCCCGGAGCAGCCACAGTAGCACTATTGTCACGTGTTAGAACCAGGGACACTTGGGGAGTTTATTCGCATGCATGCTCACGTGTGAGAACCACCTCTCTTTCCAGTCACCCAGATTCTTTTTGTCAGGAGGACAGAAGCAAAGCCGTCATTCAAAGGCTTGACTGTCTTACATTAGTCCACTGTGAAATCATTTGTTCAGTCATTCTTTCACTCATTCACTTCTTTCTCATTCAGCTCATACCCCAGCTGCTGTTATGTACCAAAGGGTAGAGGAGCCTTTCCCGGTCAGTCTTCCTGAGCTGCTCGTAGTCCTTGTTGAGTTCCTTTTTGCTCCAAATGCAGCTCTTCCTCCTTGCCCTCTGCCTCCATCACCACTCGTTGTTTTTAGGCTTACTGCAAATCCCAATTTTCTTGTTCTTGCTTTGGTAATGTAAGCTTGGCGGCTGGCTCCATTGACTGATTTACTGTCTTCTCTTTTACTTAATTTTCTTCACATACTACTGAGTGATACATATGTCTGTGTTTGTCTCTCTTAATTTTAGATTTTGATTAGGCTGTATCCCCATTGGCCTGGCATATGTATTATATTTAAGTAAATGAAGGGATGAATTCAGAATTGATTCCTTTTTGCGTTTCTTTTTTCTCCATTGTTATACCCACCTTATACTATTGAAAAAAGGAAACTTGAAAAAAGGCCAAATGCAGTGACTCATGCTTTTAATCCCAGCACTTTGGGAAGCCAAGGTTAGTGGATCGCTTGAGCCCAGGAGGTTGAGATCAACCCCATTTGTACAAAAAAATATATGCTCAGCATGGTGGCATGTGTCTGTGGTGCCAGTCATGTGTCTGTGGTCCTGGTCGAGGCAGGAGGATTTGTTGGACCTAGGAGGTCAAGGTTACAATACGCCGTGATCACACCACTGCACTCCAGCGTAGGCAATGGAGTGAGACCTTCCTGTCTCAAAAGCAAGAAGCGAAATTAGAACTCAACAAAGATGATGTGTTTTTATGACGTGCATCCTCTTTTTTCCCTTTTAAATTTTACATCTGGTTCTTTAGCCAGCATTTTTATTTTCAGGTTTTTATCCTTTTTCTTTGTGGTAATTTATCCATCTTCTCTTTCTACTAATAAGAAATATTAAGTTCCTTGGCCAACTCTAATGTGTATCCTCATTGGGTGAGGGAGGGGAACCCCACTCCCATAGTGACAGTACTAATGTGCTCCCCCTTAGTGCCGATCAGTAAATAGATTATTTAAACTACATACGGAATTTTAGCTTCTACAGTCACACTCAAAAGTAGGTGAAATTAAAATTTTGGAAATAAATTCCAAAATATTTCCACAATTAATCAATATAATATTATCAATAACATGACATTCTGAGTGTAAATTACAATTAAGTAAAATTAAAATTTATTTCCTTGTCCTCAATAGCCATATTTCAGATGCTCAGTAGCTGCATATGAGTAGTGGCTTCTGTAATGGATAACATGGCTTCAGTCTCTGAAACACTGGCCATGCTTTTATCCTTGGATTCTTAGATTTCCATATGGTTGTCTCCTTTTGGCCTCACAGTACAAACTCCCAGCATTTTGTTTTTGTTTTATGTTGAGACGGAGTTTCACTCTTGCTGCCCAGGCTGGAGTGCAGTGTTGGTGATCTCGGCTCACTGCAACCTCTGCCTCCCGAGTTCAAGTGATTCTCCTGCCTCAGCCTCCTGAGTCGCTGGGATTACAGTCATGTGCCACCACACCCGGCTAATTTTGTATTTTAGTGGAGAAGTGGTTTCTCCATGTTGGTAGACTGGTCTCAAATGCCCGACCTTGGATGATCTGCCTGCCTCGGCCTCCCAAAGTACAGGGATTACAGGCATGAGCCACTGCGCCCGGCCTCTTTGTTGTTGTTTTTTAAAATGTGTTTGTATTTCTGTGTTTTAGTCACAACTCTTAAAGCCCCATCAGTCAAAGTGAATAACCAGGTGTTTTACTTTCAACTTTGTAACCACTCATACTCTGAAATGATGTAAAAGTAGCTAACTGGCGAAGTGCAGGACTCAGGGCTTTGTTGATGTATATGTACTGTGTTCATTCAGAGTGTTGAAGTTTTTTTTTAAAACCAAAATACATGGAATACTGTATTCTACATAGTGTTTCGTGCATCTAACAGACGTCACTTTTTGAGCCGCTTCAATAACAAGGACTAATACAGAGAAATGAAGTGTGCACAGAATTGGTGGAAGGACTAGAAGAGCAAAAATCAAGGGGGCACTCTATTCTCAAAGATCAAGCACCGTGGAACTGCAGATGCTGTGCTATCATTGCTGCTACTGCTCAGCTCTGGTTTCCTTCGAAGGTGTGGTGACTAGACAGTGGACAGGGGTCTAGTTGCTGTGAACACTTGTGTCAGTGGAAGCTTCTTGTTGGCAGAACCTATATTGATGTAAGGGACTCTCAGGCTATTTTATTCGACCGTTTCCCTCTGGTGTGGCCTTATGGCCGGTTAAAATACTTCCATATCAGTTAGTACACAGCTCTAACTAAAAGAGCCCCCCGAGGGCCCCATCTTCTTTCCTCGTTTTAGTTATTAAAAGCACATCCATGGGGCACCAAGACTCTGTTTATGATCCGCTATCATAGAGAATACTTATCCTTTGAGATAATCAAAGGCAAATCTGGTTACAATCTAATCTTATTGGTGGCTATGAAGAAAAACAAGTCGAGTAGGATTTCTAGTTAATATCTAAGATGTGGCTACAAAGATAGGATGCGTTCTCTTGTGTGGCAGGTAGTGGTTCCTCCAGGTAATTCCACAAAATTCTACAGTATCTGTAGAGTCAATATTCAGCACTTCCAAGAGTGACTAGTTAGATTTGATAATAATTAATACTCCTTTCTTCCTTTTCACCCTTTAGTGCCCCAAAAGATGTTATGTACTCTTTAAAACAAATTCTAAAGTATAACAATTCCACAGTTCTGGTCAAATTTCTTACTGTTGAAATTGTTTCCCTCTTGGGCATTTCACTCTCTTGAAAGGTCTCAAATAGAATGAGATTTTACTTTTTCCACCCATTCAAAAGGGATGTGTGCTTTTAACTTCTCTCCGCATTCTTGTCTGTCTTCATCAGCATTGTGTAGGGTTAACTGTGGTAAAGCGCTGCCTCCTGATGTGATGTATTTAAGTGTTTGTCCCCTTTTCTCACCTGTAGGGCTCCTTGGTAATGACCAGTCTAAGGGATTAGGACCAGCATCAGAACAGTCAGAGAATGAGAAGGACGATGCATCCCAAGTGTCCTCCACTAGCAACGATGTTAGTTCTTCAGATTTTGAAGAAGGGCCGTCGAGGAAAAGGTTAGTACTCAAGGCTGAAAATATTGGTACCTTCAACCAGGGACTGCAAACTCAGGTGCCAGTTTTCACCACATGATAACGTGAGCCCACTTACCCAATCCCTTGATTTTCATAGAGGAGCCAGAATTACGAGGTTTCATATCAAATGCCCTGCTTTCTAAGTATTGTCTAATAATTAAAAATGAAAAAACAAAGTACTCTGGCCTGAACAACACATGTTCCTGCTGGCACAATTATCTAAAGAGTTGCCAGCTTGTAATGCCTGTCTTAACTGTTCATTTTAATCGATTCTCAGCAGCCGTCATCTTGAGGAATATATATTAGGTGATGTTTTGCCACTTCTGAAAAGAGATCTTTCTATAAATTTGAAGGATTAAATGTGGTGTTTCTGAGACTATTTTTCCTTGTCAGGAAAGCTGAAATTACACTGTGTATATTTTTAATCCCTCACTGTTTAACCGAGTTCCAAGTTAGTAGCTGTGGAATTGGTGCTTAAAACTTAGAACAGCAGTTATTTTTATGTGACTTTGCTAAGTAAGCTTGAGATAGTATGGTAAGGAAGTTGGCTATAGCGTGTGGTTTCATGGTCAAACAGTGGCAGTGACATTTTGTAATAATGATTTTACTGGGGTGTTTTTGAAACCCTTTGCCTAGTATCTGCCCTTCTTCTACCTGATAGGTTATTTTCCCTCTTCCCTGTTAGGATTTGTGTATCCCTTTGTTCTCTTACTCCGTGTTTACTTGCCTGACTGGCTTCATGACCTTTTCTTAGAATCTGTTAGTTTCAGAGACTGAAGGAAAAGAAAAGAAGTCCCCCTTGTCTGCTCGTCGTTGTTTACTCATTCTGGAGAATTTACTTTTCAGAAACAATCTACATGTGTCCGTCTACAGAAGAACTGAGTAGGGTGAAAAATTAAGAGAAAAGGACAAGATTAGCCATGTGTAGATAGTTAAAATTCCTAACTGTTTTCAGGTCTGAAATTTGAGATGCAGAGCCAAAAGTCTTTAGTTTCTCCATCATGAGCTGTCCCCTTTTAGATACATTGACTCCGTATTAATGGCTCCCATTTTCTCCTCATCCTCAGCACTTTCTTAGATGTGATAAGATTGGTTATTATAGTCAGGAAACAGAGGTAAGATGAATCTGCTCACGTACTAGCTTTGTATGTCATTCTGTTAAACAGAGTGTCTTAGTGATGAACCTATTTCATAGATATTCTGTAAAAAACATTCCCCCATTCCAGTTTAAAACATGAATTATCACAAGAGAATGATTTTAAGGATGTGTAAAAATTGTGTCAGTCTAATATATTGGAATGTATGAGTGTGGCTCATACATATAGCTGTCTCCACCGTAGGCCTCTGGCATGCATCTAGCATCAACTTTGATCTCCATTTGGGGAGCATAATTCTGAGTCTTTGGTACCCACTTTTTTAGCTATGTGGCTGGCCATCACCGTCGCTTCTGGCTGAGAGCTGGGCAGCATCTGGGTGCAGTGATGTGTCCGTAGGCTTCATTCCTGAGGAGGAGGGACCCTTTGTCCCTAACTGCTTGTGACTCTCTCAGAAGACAGTGCTGCTAGCTTCTCTTGTATGGGACCACAGCGTCGTGTGGCACCTGAGCACAAAGCAGTCATTTTACTGGAATTCTATAGGGTATTAGGCAGGAGAAACGCTTTTCACTAGGTGAAGGAAAACTTAGCCACTGCAAATGCTTTTTAATTATTAATGTGTGAGGTATTTTACTGAATTAAGGATTCATTGCAACCTGCTAACTTGGTTTTGGTCTCACTCTACTGTTGAAAATCATCAAGATCTTATGTGGATTAAGGCTTGATAGGTTTTGGTAGATTTTGAGGATGGCCTTGACTACCCTTGGTTATAGGTGGAAGATTTTGTAGCCTTCAAATATGTAGGGTCATTAGGGCATCCATTTCTTTTTTGGGAGGGGTTGGGGTGACAGAGTCTGACTCTGTCACCCAGACTCTGTCACCCAGACTGGAATGCAGTGGTATTGTGTCAGCTCACTGTAACCCTCACCTCCTGGGTTCAAGTGATTCTCATGCCTCAGCCTCCTGAGTAGCTGGGATTATAGACGTGTGCCACCATACCTGGCTAATTTTTGTGTTTTTAGTTAGTAGAGACGGGGTTTTGCCATGTTGGCCAGATTGGCCTTGAACTCCTGGCCTCAAGTGATTTTCCCACTTTGGCCTCCCCAAGTGCTGGGATTATAGGCAGGAGCCACTGTGCCCAGCCAGGACGTACATTTCTTGCAGTGTTGTAAGGTATGCAGCAAGCATCGAATAAATAATAACTCAAAACTTAAGGCCTTAAAGAACTCTGTTGTTTCGATCCTTCCTTAGTATTTAGTGGTTTGGGAATGAACCCTGCCTCCTAACGCGGCATAGGTGACTTGGGACCGGATTTCCAGAGCTTCGGGTAGCATACTGTTAAAACCGTAATGCATAACCTTTCTGAATTTCCCATATCGGGGGTCTTTTCTAATAGGGTGATGGAATGTGCTGACTCTGAAGATGAAAAGTCAAGCCTAAAGTAACGACCTATGGTGGTTATTTAAAAACAGCATTTAGTGCATTTAGTGTATGGTTGATTTTTACTTATGAGTCTTAAATTTCCTAAACATTATACATGGGAAGAGCTTTTTTTTTTTTTTTTTTTTTAGATGGAGTTTTGCTCTTGTTGCCCAGCCTGTAGTGCAATGGTGCTATCTTGGTTCACTGCAACCACTACCTCCCAGGCTCAAGCGATTCTCCTGCCTCATCCTCCTGAGTATCTGGGATTATAGGCTTGCGCCACCATGCCCAGTTAATTTTGTATTTTTAGTAGAGGTGGGGTTTCTCCATGTTGGTCAGGCTGGTCTAGAACTCCTGACCTCAGGTGATTCGCCTGCCTCTGCCTCCCAAAGTGCTGCGATTACCTGCGTGAGCCACCACACCCAGCTGGAAAGAGCTTTTAAGATTGACCCTTTGCATTCTCTTTTGGACTTTAGACTTTCTAGGAGAAAACACTGATTCCTAAAAATTGAGATTGTTGTAGTTTGTTTTGTGTTGCTGTAACAAAATAACTGAAACTGAGTAACTTTAAAAAATACAGAATTTTACTGGCTTACGTGTTTCTGGAGGCTTGGTATTCAAAGATTGAGGGGCTGGGTCTGGCAAGAGCCTTCTTGCTACATTATAACTTGGCAAGAGAGCACAAGAAAGTGCTAAGTTTGGTTTTTAATTTTATTTTTATGTTTTCAAAGAGATGGGGTCTGCCTCTGTTCCCCAGGCTGTAATGTAGTGGTATAATCATAACTTAAATACATTTTCTAATGCCTGAGCTGAAGGGATTCTTGTGCCTCAGACTCCTGAGTAGCTAGGACCACAGTCACATGCCTCTACACCTGTCTAAGCTTGCATTCATAACAAACCCACTCCCAAAACAGCGACATTATTCCGTTCACCAGGGCAGATTGCTCATGATGAAATCGCTCCTTAAGATCTCACTTTCTCAGTACTGTAGATTTGGGGATTAGGTTTCCAGCACATGAATTTTGAGGGGCTCACATTCAAATCATACTTCAGGGCCATAATTTATGCCTGTGCTTTGGAAAGAGCATTTTCTCTTTATTTTTTAGAATGATATGAATTGCTAGCTAGTATTCTTGTACATTTAGTTACTCCTACTGTACATGTCCTTTTATGTGCATGAGTTTAGGACCATCAGCACATAAATATATGCCTTTTGTCTATATAGTAGAAGGATGGAGGAAGGGGAAGAGTGAGAGGAATTTTATGTGCTTGATGTTATTTTTCTTTCTTTTTTTTTTTTTTTTTTTTTTTTTTTTGAGATAGTTTCGCTCTTGTTACCCAGGCTGGAGTACAATGGCGCGATCTCGGCTCACCGCAACCTCCGCCTCCTGGGTTCAAGCAATTCTCCCGCCTCAGCCTCCTGAGTAGCTGGGATTACAGGCACGCACCACCATGCCCAGCTAATTTTTTGTATTTTTAGTAGAGACAGTGTTTCACCATGTTGACCAGGATGGTCTCGATCTCTTGACCTCGTGATCCACCCGCCTCGGCCTCCCAAAGTGCTGGGATTACAGGCTTGAGCCACCGCGCCCGGCCCAATTTTATTTTTCTTCTTACGGAAAATAAAAATCTATGGGGAAGACTGATGCCAGCCTCAGTTCCAACCTCACCCAGTCGACTTTTCCAGCCTGCACATTGAATCAACTACATTTTTCTGATTATGCTTATAACAGGTTTTTAATTTCTCAGTTAAAACATCCATGTGTTTATTCAGTGTTCTTTTTCCTGCAGAAAACCCCGAGTCAGATTTTACTGTGTGTACTTACTGCCTATGCCTTTACTTGACACTGGGGATCTTTTTAGCGATAGAAAGCAGTGGAGTCGAGAGCTCTTTAGAGTTTTGGAGTTTTCTCAAGTTTCTGATTCTCTTCCTCAGAGTTTTTCTTGATAGAGGCAACTACAACAACAACAAGAATGACCCAAAACCATAACTGGTATATTTTTACCTAGCCACCGAAAGGTCATCTGTGATCGCTCTTTGCAGAAGGAAAAGCCAGCCCCGCCTTCAGAATCGCTCTGCTGTGTTCATGGAAAGGGCGGCCCAGGAAAAGATGACCGGAGAGATTCTGTGCTGTTGGGACCCTGAAGACTGAGTCCTGTTTTTAGTTTTAGGTGTTGGTTTTCTTTTTCTTTTTGATCTTTGTTGTGGGTAAGGTTGTTTTTTAAAATGATAGATTAACATAATTTATGATTTATATTGTTTAGAATGGAACCATTACAGAGTTTTATCCTTTATTCAGACCGTTCTGAATGTGAAGGTGGCCCTGCCCATCTCCTTTCTCATTTTGCCCAGGTGTTCCACTCAGTTCTTATAAAACGTGTGTTTGCCCCATCAGTCTCTCAGTAGTTGTAGAATCCAGAATGGACGGAGTTTTGTCATTCAGGGGTGGGATAGTGGTCAGAAAC